CCAGTCCTGACTCCGACCCCGAGCGTGGTGCCCAGCCTCTTCCCGACCGCCTTGCAGCCCTCCGTGCCCCTGGAGCTTCCTGCCAAGCCTGCGCCCGTGTACTCTGATGCGGTAAGGCGTTTTCCAGGCCAGGCTCCAAGGAGCCCTTGTGCACATGTGTCCAGCAGCGTCTGAGGTCTGGTCCAACCATGTGTGGACCGAACCCACTGAGGCGCTTGCACGTGTGGCCCTAGAATGACCTGAACCAGCTGAGGTGGGTCTCAGGCTGGGACCTGGCCCACAAGGCTCGGTCCTGTGTCTCAGACGAGGAGCTGAGAGAGTAGGGCTGAGTGCGGATCCGCAGCTTGCCGCCTGCATCTCTCTAGAACGTCACACTTGGAACTTTGGAGGATGAGCTGAAGGGTTTTCGTGGCCCTGACGCTGTTGGTGACATAAGTGCGCCCTGTGTTGAGTGCCTCCTGGGCTCTGCAGACACGCGGGGTCTCGATCGTCCTGTCCCAGTGCCACCCTGTCCCCACATGTCTGCTCTGAGTGGTGTCACCATGCTCACTCGAGAGCCAGGGCATGGGGGCCACGGGGAATGCCACGTGTCCAGCCACAGGCCTGGCCACCACACACCTGTGGGACTTGGCCTTGCACAGGCGTTGGGCACTGCCCAGCCAGGGGATCCAGGAGGGCTGAGGGGCATGCAGGGGCCGCAGACACTGAGAAAGCTGACATGGGGTGGCAGCGGCGCCTCCCTAAGGGCCGTCCTTGTGCAGCAGGCTCCCCACCTCCCCAGAGGGCGTTGGTCTGCTGGTTGGCAGGAAGCCTTCCAGAAGCAGCTCAGCCAAGTCCGCGTGAGGGCTGTTAAACACCCCCAGTGTCCATGACAAGGTCTCGGCATGACCTCTGCCCTGGCGGGGTGTCCGTGAACTTGGTGGCTCTGTGGAGGTCCCCAGTGCCCTTAGGCTGTAGAGTCACAGCTGGGTCTGGTGGAGGCGGTGTCCCTGTGGGCGTCTGACCCATGGGCCTCTCTTTAGGACCTGGTGCAGGTGGTGGACGAGCTCATCCAGGAGGTTCTTCAGAAGGACTGCGAGGAACTCTGCGCCGCGGGGGCGGCCTTCGCGGCCACGGCCCTGGGGTGAGTGAGCGTCCCTGCCCTGCAGCCGTGCTCGCTGGGCGGCACTGTGATCCTCTAGATGCCTCCTCCCAGAGAACTGCCCTAAGTCTTCCTCAAGGGCAGCAGTTCCTGTCCGTAAAGGCGCGAACGCTGCCCTGGTCCAGCTGGCCTTCTGTGAGCGCTGTCCTGAGCCTCTGCTTTCAGTTCTTGTAATCGTAGGCCTAGGAGTGGAATTGGGGGGATATACAATCTATTTTTAATTTTGTGGCAAACCACCAAGCTGTTTTCCACAGTGCCTGTATTTTACATTCTCACCAGCAATGTGCAAGGGTTCCAATTTCTCTACATTCTTACCAACATGTGGTATCTTCTATGTTTTTTTTATAATAATCATTATAATGAGTGTGATGTGCTGTCTCATTGTGGTTTTGATTGGTGTTTCCCTGATACTGATGGTGAGAATCTTTCCAGGTGCCTATTGGCCATTCGTGTGTCTTCTCAAAAAGTATCTGCTCAAGTCTTTTGTCCATTTTGAATTGCATTTCTATTGTTGCAGTTCTTTTATATCCTGGATATTAATCCCTTATCAGACAGATGATATGCAAATATTTTTTCCTATTCTGTGAATTGTCTTTTCACTCGCTTGAAAGTGTCCTTTGATGCAAAGAAGTTAAATTTTTACGTAGTCCAATTTTTTTCTTTTGTTTGTGCTTTTGGTGGCATTTATAAGAAATCTTTGCCATATCCAGTGTTTTGAAGACTTCCTCCTATGTTTTCTTTTAAAAGCTTTATAGCTTTAGATCTTAAGTTTAGGTCTTTGGTCCATTTTTATTTAATTCTAATATATGGTATAAGGTAAGGATCCAACATCACTGTGTTGTATGTGGGTGTCCAATTTTCCTAGCATCAATGTTAAAATGATTGTTCTTTCTTCATTGAATAGTCTTGGCACCTTTGTTGAAAATCAGTTGACTGTGTATGTGAGGCTCCGGGCTCTATTCTGTTTCATTGGTCTACATGTCTGTTTTTATACTAGCACCACACTGTTTTAATTCCTGTAGTTTTGTAGTAACTTGTAGTGAATTTTGAAATCACAAAGTGCGAGTTCTTCAACTTTGTTACTCTTTCTCAAGATTGTTTTGCTATTTAAGGACCCTTGAAATTCTATATGAATTTTGGGATGGGTTTTCCTATTTCTGCAAAAAGTGCTCATAGGATTTTGATAGGGATTGCATTGAATCTGTAGATTGCTTTAGGTAGTACTGACATCTTAATATTGCCTACCAATCCATGAGCATGAGGTATCTCTCCATTTGTCTAGATCAGGGGTCAGCAAACTTTTGAAATGGAAGAGTCGCCAGGGATCAGCAAACTGTGGCTCGCAGGTTCTGAAGTAAAATTGAAAATGAAAATAAAACTATCTTAGTTTCATTGATAAAATATTTAAAGGATATGCATATAATGGTGATTATGTAAAAATATATTTATGGCTCTCGGATAATTTTTAAATTGTTGTGAGGGACAGGATTGGCTCTCCCAGGTATCAGCAAACTTTTGAGATGGAACGTGCACAAAGAGCCGCACGGGGCTTGCAATCCGCAGTTTGCTGACCCCTGGTGGCTCTTCCATCTCAAAAGTTTGCCGACCCCTGGTCTACAATAGATCATAATTTCTCTCAGCAGTGTTTTGTCGTTTTCATTGTACAAGTCTCTTACTTCCTTGGTTAAATATGTTCTTAATTGTTTTATTATTTTTGTTGCTATTGTAAATGAACTTTTTTTTTTTTTTTAAGATTTTATTGGGGAATTGGGGGAGGGAAACAGACAAGTTGCTGTCCTTTTGTTCTTCAGTCTAGTTGTGGACATCGCTTCACTGGCACATGTTGGTAGTATCATTGTGCTCTTCCCAGGTGAGGCAGTCGCTCACTGGCCATTGGCGGCCGCTCATGGCGTCTCACGGCAGCTCATGCCAGCTGCCAGCCACTCATGGTA